CACTCACAGTGTTCTCCGAGGAGCTGAAAAGCTTATTGGGCGGGGCTCCTCCCTTTGCTGCGTCTCTGCAGGAAGCAGGAAGGGCAGGAGAGAGCTAGCTAGCCCAGCTAGGCTGACTCAGGAATTCTGGGAGTTGAAGTCCATGAGTCATAAAAGAGACGAGGTTGCCTACCCCTGAGCTTGTTGGACAACAGCTTGAAGCTTGCCAGGTGAGCAGCAGATAGGAGGGGGGGAGAAAGAGAGGGAGGGAGGGAGAGAGAGGGGGGGAAAGAGAAAAAGAAAGAGAGTGGGGGAAGAGGAATGGCAGACCAAGAGCAGATAGAGAGGGAGGGAGGGAGAGAGACTCACAGAGAGAGACCCTTTTGACATCTAAAATGAAGATAACACTGCATATATCCTTTTTTTACCTATGTGTGTATGTAATTTTATTCTCTTAAAGCATTCTCTTGGTGATCATTGTTTTAATAGTATGGATATTCCCAAGAGTCATATTTTTACTTTTATTTTTAATGTGTGTGTGTGTGTGTATACACACACACACACACACACACACACACACACCCCTATAATAAAGGTAAAAAAGGATATATGCAGTGTTATCTTCATTTTAGATATCAAAAGGGTTTTGCGACTCCCGGTGTTTTGTTTTTGGTGGGAAACGAGTCCAAGTGGCTCTTTGAGTGTTTTGGGTTGCCTACCCCTGATCTAGTCTACAAACTAATGTTATTGGGATGTGTAATTTCAAACTCTGGATTAAAGCTTATGCAACTAAGCATGCTTTTTCTTTCTGGCTGAGTACTTTCCTATATTTAAGATTTATTCTTCTGAATTGGGGGGGGGGAGCATCCATGTTGCCCTGCATTCTTAACCCAAAAAATATCTCAATATAACCAAACTCGTTGCCCTATTAGGTAAAAATTCAAAAATTTAGAAATAGATCTGCAAGCATATTTTGAAGAATAAATATTGTATTATAATTATGCCATATGGTCTACATGATAGCTTCCCTTTCCTATGTGGCAGATCAAACTTTATAAGAAACTTCATATTATATTATGATGTCAGAAACATGTAGTCACACTGATTCAGTTAAATTCAGAATTCATGAAAACCACTAACATTTCTCTTAAAATATTTCTGCCCCACCCCCTCCCAAAAAAACCCCAACCAAGACATTTGGAGAAAGAGTATACCAAAAAAATGTTTAGCAGTCAAAGAGATTAACAAAGTGCAGGTACTTTGAAAATTGGCACGTCAATAATTGTAGATTTTAAAAAATAACAATTTCCATAAAATAAGGAAGAAAGACTAATATTTGAAAATGGACCATAATGAAATGGACCAGATATTTGCATTTACCTAGTTATCATCTACATTTCTATATATCTTTCTCTGGCCAAACTTCACCAGAATCCTGATTTATTAGCCTTTCATTTCATTTGTTCCATGACTTTCTAGCATAATAACAATATTTCTTTGGGACACAATGTTTCATCCTACCTCTCTTACCTGATGTCAAGATTTTGCCAGTTATAATTAAAAGTTACTTAGAATCAGGAATTAAGCACTGAAGTAATTAAATCATAGGTCACAGCTAAAGTACAATAGTAATATTACTGGTCAGCTAATATGATATTCTTATAACAGTTTATTTGGAAATTCCACTGAATGGAAAGAGTATGTGTATATAGTAGCTACAGAGTTTATCATTAAGACTAACTATAGAAAAAACAGAAATGGAATGTAAAATAAAGCAAAAATGCAACATTAAAAGCGGTTTCCCTAAATATTCCCTATTAAAATTAAAATAAAGACATGACAGGTATCTCAATTAGTTTTCTGACAGGAAGTCTGACAACACACAATGTTTGAATGTTGCTATATAAACTATTCTAAAACATGCAATTAAAATGAACATTCCATTGAAACGATTATTATAAAATAAGTTAATAAAATTTATCTGTGGCAGTGCCTTTTCTGTAATCTGAATAAAACTAAAATCATGCCTTGCACCTACTCAGAGAAGACTCTCTTTGAAGAGGTGCAGTGCATTACAACAAAAATACTAGAGAATCTTTTCCCTATTTTTAAGTACAACAGTAACAAATCATCTGTCTTTTTGGTCCTCCATGTCTGTTACATTTTGCTAGTAAGTACTGCCTTCAATTGAAATCAGATTTAGCATGTCAACACTGCCCTATCGGATAGGGTACATCTGATAAGTTAAACAAATACACACCCTAATGTTAAGTCATATTTCACTGTATGTACTAACAGAATAATCATCCATAATTCAGAGTTACAGATATAAAATTTGTTTCCCTGCCTAAGAAATTTAATACAGTTTTATATATATAAACATACAGATACATATTCAGTTTCTACTTATCTGCATTCCTTTGAACCATAATCTATAATTTAAAGTGTAGGTGAAAACGACTCACGCCCCCAATGCATATAGGAGGATCTTTTTTTTTCTTAGCAGTAAACTACATTCTGAAATAGCTGCACCCAGTATTGGCATTGCACAAAACAATCAGACTTACTGATTTTTTTCTCCTCTCTTCCAAAAGGATAACAGCACAGCTGGCCCATGATATTTACTGTTTTCTTTTCTTCCTTGTTCTCTCAGTGTGCACCACCCCAAACTGTAAACTGGATGTTGCTCTTGATTCTGAAGGCAAACTGTTCATTCTACTCAGAGGAACACAAAAAGGCACACACACATACTGAGGGGAGGGAAAGAGAAAGCAGCGAGTTCTCTGCTGTAAAGAATGAGAAAGGCTCCACCTCTTTGTCTTCGGCACTGATAGGTGTAGAGAAGAGAAAGTATTCCTACCATCTGGAGGGGTTTACAGTGACACTATTTTACACATACACACACACACACACACACACACACACACACACACACACACACGGATGCTTCACACATTTCACCATTTCTTTGCACAGGGATTTAGAATGTCAAAATAAAGTACTTTGTCACCATCAAGGATTGGCTATATATTAATAGCTAGTTTGCAAATATTTTTTAAATCTTAAGAGTTGGGACAATGTTACAGGCAGAGTTTTCTTCTCAGATTTTTTTTTCTCTTGTCCTTCCTATGCCTCAAAAGCTGTACTACTTGCAGAAATATAAGAGATGCAATATTTTCCATCACTTTATCTCAATTTTAAAACAACAACAATCCTACATCACCTAAAACTTATGAAGATGCAGGATTGCAACCAAAGACGGATGACATCTTTATTTAAAGTATATACCTTTCCCCCCAATTATTAAGGTTGGGGACAATACAGTGGCACCTCAGTACTTGTTCTTTATTGGTTCCGGGAGGTGGGATGAGTATTAAAAAGGATGAGTACCAAACAAACCATGTGACCTTTTGTTTCGACCGGGAAGGACCTCCTATCTATCCTTTTTCCTATCTCAGTGACCTTCCCAGCACGGCCAACTTCCTGTCCGCCCCTCTGCGGCTTCCTTTTGCAGCCATCTTCCCAGCAAGGCCATCTTCCTGTCCACCCCTGTGGCTGTCCCCCACTTCCTTTTGCAGCATGTCAAATACCAAACAAACAATGAGTACTGGGACAACATTTTCACATCCAAATGCACTAAGTACCAAATTCCACGAGTTTTGAAGCAATTGAGTACCAAAGTACCACTGTATTAAATCTTCCTCTAAACTTCAACTAATACTGCATTGTTGATAATGCTTGGTTCTGCTTATGTGATTAATTATAGACAAAAAAAACATTAAAAGTGAGAAAATGTCTAACAGGAGATGGGATGTGCCCTGAAGTAGTGCTTTATAGGCAGAAGCAGCCACCAACACTGAAATAATGAGGGCAAAAGTTGAAAAGCCACTATTGTCTGATCTTGTCCTAGCAGAACTTCAGTCATTCTGAAAATTGTTTTGATGATTTTATTTGGGGGAGGGACTGGCTGATCTCAACATATGGGACTCTCGAGTCTGTACCACAACCATTGCTTAGTTTTCACCACATGCCGTGCTGACTGAGTCTAATTTAACTTTGCAGCCCCAAATTCCAACAAAAGCAATAACTTCCCATCACTATCAGAACAATAATTAATATTTCACTGCAATCTTACAAAGAGCCGGCATATTCATACTCCACTCAGTATCAAGGATGCAACAGTATTAAGTGTCTGGGGGTACAGATAACTAACAATCTGAATTGGTCTCTCCACACATCATCCTTAGTGAAGCGTGCAAACCAGCATCTGCATTTCCTGCGTCGGATGAGGAGAGCACATCTCTCTCCTTCTGTCCTGGCCACTTTTTACAAAGGCACAATTGAGAGCATTTTAACAAACTGCATCACTGTCTGGTTTGGTGGCAGCAGTGCCTCAGATAGAAAGTCCATACAGAGAACGATAAGGACAGCCAAGAAGATCATAGGAAGCTCGCTCCCTGGTATTCAGGCTGCTTCTTCTAAGCGCTCTGTGCTTAGAACTCAAAGCATTGTTAGAGACCCCACACACCCACTGTAAGGTCTGTTTCTGTTGCTCCCCTCTGGGAGGAGGTTTCGAAGTATTTCTAGCAGGACTACCCGATTCTGTAATAGCTATGCCATCCCTCTGGTAAACTTGCAAGATTCGTTTCTCTCACCATACACATGTATACGTTAACCCAAACTAAACTGTTGTTTCTCTGTGTCATATAAAATATGTGGGTATATGCATAATTCTGTATTTATTTATTTATTTTTGTCATATTTATGTAGTGTATATTGGAGGTGGTGACCCTTTGAGAGCTGTATGCAACGAAATTTCATTTTAATGTATGGCAATTAGAATACATTCAAAAGTTATTATTCTATTCTAAAAAAACCCTCTAGCATTCCCCTTATGAATTACATTAAAACAATTGTAAGGTAATTGCTAAAGTCATAATCCAATGGGCATAATGTGATGGTACAACTGATACTTGGTTCTCTTAATCTTTAACAGTGAAGGAAATTCGAAGAAAAAAAATAACTGCTTACAAGATAACAGGTATGTAATAAACCTCTAACCTATTCTTTCTGTGTCTTTACCAACCACTATCCACTTACTAGAAGAATTTCTTCTTTGCAGTATCATCCACAAACAAAAACAGAGGAGTATTATTTTTAAATGTTGAATCACAACTGTTCTTTAAAACAATGTGAACAGAACACCCTGTCCTGAGAACACTGAGAACTGTTCCAAGATCATTTGGTATCTTATCAGGGACAGAAGTCAGAAGGTTCTTTCATAAAAAATACTAGTGTGATACTTTTCAGGCAAATATTATATGGTACTTATAAATTATTCTGATATTGCAAGATGGACTATAAAACTCTATCATGCATATGAACAGCTTCATCTACATTTTGTAATAAAGCCTGCTTAAGCAAAAACTGTCAGCCTGTCAAATCACATGTGGAAAAAAAAAGCACATGACCCATATTCTAAAGAACAAATGAATTAAACATGACTACTTAACACACATCTACAGGGCATAAGTAAAAGCCTGTCATTAAAGCAAAAGAAAATACGTCTGGTGGGAACTACTTACATTTTACTCTTTTTCAGGGGACTAAGGCCCTATTTATTTAAAAAGGAAACTAACTCGGAAAAACGCTAGAAGTGTATTTTTTTGTTTCATTTTAAAACTGTGTAGTGAAGATAAGTATTAACAAATAGCTGATTTCTAAGGATATCAAATGAGATATGTCCAAATAATTTCAGCATGAAGAAAAATATGGGTTTAAAATTCTCACACTGAATTTAATAAAACTTTACTATGAACTTTGTCAGTGCTGCAAAATGATGGAATATACAATCAGGTTTCGATAAATCTGCTCATTTTAATTTCACTTTAATACAACATTGTATTCTATAGTTACCCTTCTATATCTATATTTATTTACAATTTAAAAAAAAATCTGCATAAAAATTCATAAGCATACCTTTTCTCAAATGCATACTTCCTGAATAAAATGATAGTTTGTCCATCATCTTTCAAAATATACCATTTTGTATATTTTTTTGTAAAGTACACAGATTTATACTCAGTTTTGATTGAAGAACAGCATCACAGAACTCAGAAAGATGCAAAAACATATAAATGCATTTCTGCATACAAATTTATTGAAGAAATACTATTTAGAAATGTTATGCTTTATTTTATTTTTTAATTATTATTTTATTATTGATTTTTTTACAATAACAATCCCTAGTGCTTAGCAAACAGCGTGTTGTCTGGGTTCATATATTTAAAAACAATAATAATTAATTTCTATAATTAATCAATATGTTAGTCAATGATATATTTCCTTGATCTTCTCCCAGTAATATTCTCATTTTGTCTGCATTAAACAAATATAATTCTTAATATTTTCAATACATACAAGGTTGACTATAAACATTTTTCTAGTAATTGTACAACTAACAGTAACATCAACATCAATATAACATCTTTTTTTAATCAGCTTATATTTCAATTGTATTTATGAAAATCATCTTATTAAATCATTATGTGTCCTGTTTTCAAGATTCTTTTAAGCTTAATTTCCCTACTGTATTCAAGCCACTCTTATCAGTCACAATTTTCTCAAAATTAATTATTTTTAAATATCCAAACTTTTCATTCACATACACCATCCCAATATTTTTACATTTCATGTATTATAAAAAGTATTATACTATTTATATATCTTATCCCTCTTACTATAGGGCCCCTTTATATCTAAGCTTTATCTATTCTTTTAACTGTATTCAAACAAGTGTTTAATCATATAGTACTCCATCTGATAAGTTGGATCAAGTCACTTAAATCTGACTCTAGCCTTCTTCTTTTGCCAGGTTGCTTTCCAATTCAGTATGTTCAGTTTGCCAGGGGATTTTTCCTGTATTTTTGTAGATGTTGTTGTCTCCCAAACTTTAATGATTTTCCTGACAGGTCTTTAATCCATTTTGTTAGATCTTTTTTCTTGTCCTCAAGTTTGTTTTGAAGTCCTGGAAGATAAACATCTTTTTTATTTCCTTTGTTGTAGTAAAATCTTGCAGTTTTCTTTTGTTTGAATTAAGTTGTAGTTCTCTTCATTTGTAGCTTCCATATTTAAATCACTTTCCTCTGGTTTGCGTTCTATTATCTGATTTGTTTGTTCGTTCTTTATCACCATTTTCTGAGGTTTTTTAATTGCAAGTTTAAGTTATAGATATGTTCCTTTATGTCATCAAAGTTGTTTTTAATCTCCTCATGATTTGAAACAATTATCATTTGAATCTGTCGCAGCATTGCATATATTTTCTCCTGAAATGTGTTTGCTTTGTCTTGAGTCATTACTCCTGCAGATCTCTGATGTTCCAAGCTGAGGTCTTCAGGAGGGAATATTAGGTGTGGTTTCCTGTCACTTTTAGATAGATGTACAACATCCATTTTGTCTCCCCCCTCCAGATAGTTTTTCACCGGTACCATAGTCTCTTTGATTAGCTTTGTCAAACCAGCCACTTAAAATCCAAACAACCGAAACTTATGTAGTTCTTATCTTTATATATGGTTTTTTTTAGTCCAATACATTTGCAATTATCAAAGCACCACTGAAAGCAGTATTTTATAACAATTCTTCTATTCAGGTGTCTTACAATTATTAGCCAGCCAAGATTTCAGTCCAGAATGTTTAGCCACCTAAAAGCTTTCCAGTAACTTCTCCCCTAGAAGATTAGACAAAAGTCAGGTTTTTCTTTTTCTGCAGATAGTTTTTAAACAAATATAGTTTTCACTCTGTAGTATATTTTCTTTCCTTTGTTCTCAGCTGTTTTCTGTTTATTTAGAAGTCACTGAAGTTCAACGGAACAAATTATTCTCTATTTCTGGGCGTTTTGCCAATTTCAAATCAATGCAGCTATAGTTTTATGCTCTAATTCTCCACTAGATGCAGGAGCTATTCATTTTCCAACTTTTAAAGTGAAAATTATTTTCTTATAATTTCATCAATATTGTTTCAGATGTGAAATTTTAACAGTTTTCATGGTTTTCAGATTTATCCAGACTGTAATATTATTCACCTCATTTCACTATATTTCTGTTCCCCATAAAAATTTAATCCACCGCTTCCGTCTATGGGAGGGTGGGAGTGTAGTCCCCTCCTCATTTTCAGAGGACTTTTTTGCTTCTTGGGGATGTTTTCCAGAGAATCAAATACAAAATAGGAGAGAGAAGATTGAATTTCTCACCCAGTTCCAAGCACACTGTTCACCGTTGTTCTGGTTAGTGTCCTTGGACTTCAGCTGCTGGTAGCTTGGGCTGATCACCAAGGTATGGCCAACTGTCAGGTTTTGGAAAGCTTCCCCTGGATCGAGTGGATCGGCCGCCATCATTCCGCAATCATCAGGTGCCCCTCCTTCTTCATCGCTTCTCCGGGGTGACTTTAGACCCATTTTAGGGTCCCAGGCAGGGTAAAACCAGCCAAGGTGTGCAGAGCTCTGCGATCCCACGGCCGCATCGCTACGATGCAAGACTGGAAGTCGTAGGAATGTTATGCTTTAAAAGACCAGCCAAACAAATTTCTCCCCATCCCCATTAACACATCACATAGGTTTCCTAAACTCACTGAGCAAGTTTAAGCAAGACATTCTGTCTCCAATTCAGTCCCCAATTTGCATTATGAAGATAAGCTGTGGCTCCCACAATGCTCTAAAAGCCCTTCTGAACAGCATCCTTGAAATCATTTTAATGTAGTAGTTTCTTTTTGTTTTAAGTTTATTTGTTCTTGTTCTTAAATAGATATCAATCATAAAATAAAATTAAAATTTATGGCTATCTTTTCTGTTATCATCTTCCTTACTTTTGTACTGCAGATTTAGCAAAGGAAGGGCCAAGTGAAAAAAAAACTCATTCTATATGTAAATAGTTGAATGCTAATTCACTCTCAGAAAACAAACAAACAAATAAAGAAGAAGATGAAAGTTTAGAGCCAGAAAGATGAGGGAACCAAGATACTTTGTTGTTGTTGTTCAGATTCATATGGAATGTGAAGACCATTGTGGTTACACTATTCTGGACCTAAACTAGCTGCTATGAACATTAACATTTTTTTACAGTTCTGTGATTTTCTACATTAACCAAGATTTCGTTGCTTTATAGATACCACTGATTCTCACAAAGTGCACAAAACCTATTAAGAGTTCAAATTTCCTGTTAGGAATGTTCATTTCCTTATGTATTTAGTTCATGAAAACTATAGAGACATTTTAAAAAAGAAATCATCCATTTGTATAGTATTTTTACATGAACACAAATGTACATCACCAATTCTTTAACAAAAAAAAGATAGATCTGAAATTTCAAAAAATGCTTTAATCTTCATACATGAATATGTTTGTATATCCCCACATAGAGGAAAAGAATGACCTCCTTTTTTTCACCCCATTAAATTATTAGTTGCTAAACAATAATTTTCTTAATAAACCAAGATGGGTGACTTCATGCTATAACCTGAGCCATATTCCATAGCTTATATATCACAGTGATTTTGTTCAGATACTTTATTAAGATAAACCCAAACAACATATGATGCTAACAGTATAAGATATCAATCCAATGGAGAACTCTCTTTTATAGTCTTCTGTTAATTATGGTAATTAGGATCAGAATTTCCACTGATAGGTGATGTGGACCTAACATAGAAATGTGGACCTAGCAGTAGCAGTCTTGGAAGTCCTTATTACTATCATTAAATGAGGTATGTGGGTTATTAACAGAACCTCTTCACAACTTTCTGTTGACTTCCAATAACCAAAGTCAATGTGGTAGCCAGCAGGAAGTTGCAAGTCTCTGGTGATTTGCAAACAGGCTGGTAGACAGGTAACTGGCTGCTACATGGGTGCACAGGGATGTGTGAGGGGCAGGGGGGCACAAGCACAGCAGGGCTTGGGATGGCTGCTGCAGGTTGCAAGAGGTATGCAAGGGTGCACAAGGGATGGGGAATGCCATAAGTATCACAGGGCTTGAAGTTGCTGTTGCAGGGTGCAAATGGGATGAGTACAGCAGGAGCACAGTGGCGCCTGGGTGGCTGCTGCTAGATGTGGGGAACTTACCAGAACAATTTTCGACTTTCCTTACTGGCCTCCCCATTGACTTTGCTTGTGGGAAGCTGGTAGGGAAGGCTGCAAATAGGAGTCATGTGACTGTGGAATGCTGTAAACATTGTTAAATGCAAATGGTTGCCAAGTGCTCAGATTATGATCATGTGACTGGCCAGTTGCTGGGACAATTGGAACTTCAAAGACCAGTCATAGGTACTACTCATTTAGCACCATTGTAACTTTGAATGGTTGCTAAAGGACTGGTAATGAATTGAGGACTAGCTATATATTTCAACATGGAAGGCATATCTATAAGACAAAGATTTAAAAATTCCATTAAAAAGATTACAATATATTTATTTCAGATTCAGAACTGGAGTTCCTTGACTTCCTTAAGAGTAGATTTAGTCTTGGGAACTCTTCAGACAGCAGAAGGCCATCGTGAAGATTTCTTTGTAAAAAGTTCAGTTTTTATGAAATTACTTGGTATTCCTGAAAAACTCCTTTGCCTCCTTTGCACAATGCACAAAGAACTATATGATAGTAAAAGTCACAATGCCTGAATTGTACCAAATGCCAAATCGTCAATATAGGGCTCTATCCAGGAGTGTTTACAGGGTTAACAGCATTAAAGCAGCAGGCAAAACTGACACCTGAAGCCTTGCCTCTATTACCATGGGGTGGGGGGGAGCAATTAGATTACTCCAACAGTGTCCACCATTTTGAACCAGCTAACACTGCCAGTGGATATCCCAAATGGTACTATGTTCTATAACAAAGAATTTGATTCCTTGAACTATAAAGCAGATTTATTTATTTATTTGTATCCCATCTTTATTATTATTTTTAGAATTAACTCAAGACAGTGAACACATCCAACACACCATTCTTCTCCTATTTTCCCAGTAACAACCCTGTAAGGTGGGCTAAGAGTGACTTGCTCAAGGTCATGGCTAAAGCGAGACTAAAACTCACAGTCTCTTGCTTTCTAGCCTGGTTGCTCTAACCACTAGATAAAACTGGCTCTGAGATCTTAAAACAATACTTTAATGTCCATTTAAAAAATCAGGCTAAAGAAATCCGTCTTATTTGAAAACTCCTTCTGCCCTTTCTGATAGAAGTAAATTAAACCTCCTTATTATGGTTTCTCAACAATGTAAACTGTCTTTCTCAAAGAGTTTAACTGTATCGAATAATATATTTTGGAGATTAATCCTCTAAAAAGCAGAAAGAGGCCCCAAATCTTCTCATTTTTCACTGTAGGATGGCATTTTCTAATATTAACGTTTGTTCCAAATAAAAGCAATTCAACCCAGCAAACTATGACCAATAAATCTATTTATAACTCTTTATAGGTTCCTCAACAATAACACAGCAATCCTAAAATATTTTCAGAATTGGGCCAGAGTGCTTGAACAAATCAAAACAGATATTTTTAGAGCATTAGCTCACAGCTTGAATGATATACCAATGCTGCTAAAACAAAATCTTTTATGGAGACATTAGCTAAAGCAGGCAAACTTCAAAGAAAGCTTTATCTTAATACTTTGAGATAAGATCATTCCACGGTGGCACATCATCATTAATCTTTTGTAAGTTTTAACCAAATACCCTAACATGTTTTAATAGATTAGCCTTGTTGCCATTTATTTATTCTGAAAATTAAGCTTTTAATTCCTCCATCATTCAGTTCTTCCCATTTTCAAACTACAGTATTGAATATACAAACCCATGATTTACAAGACATTATTATTTTAAATAAAAGATACGATATTTGAATGAATAATCTGTTCCCTGTAAATGGAGTTTTAAATTAAGTATTTACTTTATATTAAAAATCAAAGGGGAAAACATCTAATCAAATGAAAATTAAATTATTTGCTGACTCTGAAGTATACTGCTAAAATTATGGTTTTTTCAAGTTGTATTACTACATCAATATAAAACTGATACAAAACACTGAATAATAAATTATTTCACTGTTTAGTAACATCTTAGGGTTTGAATTATTATAGAGCCAATAAATTTGCAAGATGTAGTTAATATTACCAATTATCTCAAAGCACAGCTAAAACTAATTAATTAGTTATTGCCTACAGTCCTTTCTATCACTAAATTCATGATATGCATCATATTATTTGATAAGTATGCCTGCTGTGCATATAGATAAAATTGGACTTCTTAACATCTAATTTCTTAACATAAATATTTTTATTTTTAATTTCAGATAATTATGAGACCACTGCATAAAACATTTGGTTTTGTGTTCTTTTGCATTTTTTTCAAAACCTTACTGCAATCTTCTGGTTTACAAATCAATATAAAAGACCTTTGATCTAAAATGTATTAGCAGTTGCTAGTTACACAATTACAGTATACATATTGGACCTAAAGAGATCCCAAGATTCAGTATTGTAATTTAAACATTCTAGTAAAAAGAAGACCCTTATACTGCAAATTCCGCTTTTGGTTATTCTCAACCTCAGGTTTTTTCAACCATATTAAAATGTTGATTACTTGAGGAACCACCACATGTCTCCCATAACATCTGCCCAGTCAATTCAATTCTGCATTCTTTTATATGTTTTAGTTTGCACAGATGGCTTATCATAGGAGGTACATTTGTTTTTTGGTTAAAAATCTGAGATTGACCTTTATGTGGATGGGCTTATATGTGAGTATACTGTATACATGATATATGGTTACTTTAGAGAAGTTTTGTCATATGTCTTCACAGATAAGCCCATCCATGAATAAAATGAACCCAATTTCAGGGGTGTATTTTGCCACCTAAAATTCTTGGCTTTTCTGCAAGTTTACATAGTGCACAAGACCTGAAATGTAGAGAAATGCAAGTTGTTGTTTTTTTAAGAAATAGTTGTATGATTAGTCACAGGTACAGAGTGGTTTATATTAGTAGGAAGAAATAGCTTTGAAAACAAAAGCTATGGCTATTTTCCTGTAAACCTTTTTTCCTATCATGGATGAAATAAAATTGTAGTCTTACAGGAGTACTGAGTAACCACAAAGAATTAACAGCCAAATACTTGTAAATGGAATTTCATCTCCCAAATATTCCATGAAGCAGCAAACAAGACAAGATTGTCCCCTAAACATAAAGCCTCTAATAAAAGAAGGTACCACAAAATAATAGAAAGTCAAGAATCACATTAACAAAAATCAGTCCAAAAATTCTAGAAAATAGGGAACACAAAGGAAATGTAAACATGGACTTTCCTTTTAGTCTGCTTTTTTTAAAAAAATTAAATATTATTAAACCCTAAATACCCATAAAATATACTGAATTGGCATTTTTAAATGATAACAGCTGCTAGGATTCTCTGTGTCTCTCATTAGAAATTGTGAACAATTTCTTTTGTTGAAGAATGGCAAGTTATGGAAGTTTTTCTCAATGTCAAACTTGATACATGAG